CCTACGATTTTTAGGCGGTCAAAGTGTAATCCCTTAACTGTAATACGCATGTGCCATTCAGCCCCCACTTAGCCCCATTTTTTTTTTTGAAAAGATTTTCGAAAAATAAGAAATTGGGTAAAACAGGCAGAGTGGGGGCTGAATGGCACATGCGTTTTACAGTCAATTGGGAACCTATACCTTTCTCTCTCGCACAGATGTTGACTTTACGTTCAGCACTCAATTCTCCTTCCAGTAATATATGTTCTAAGCTGGTAATACAGCCACTTAGAGGTTTCAGTGTTAGTTTCAAAGTTAACCAACAATGGCTTCACTACTTTAAAAAGGATATTCACGAAGCATGACAAAACCATTTTTATATGCCCAAACTGCGAATTTTGAATAGCCAAGACACTTTTGTCTTTTTTTTTTGGAATTCAGGTGGTTTCAAACTTTATGGATCTTTTGAATTTTGGCCAACATTTTGGAATGTTTAATTTTATTTTTTGGAATTTTTCTTATTTACATTTGACTTATTTCAAATAGAAATAAAGTTCTGTTTATAAAAATAATAAAATTGTCTTTTTTTTCATTGCTCTTTTTGCTTAAAACTTGGTAGAAATGTATTTATCGAGAAAAATAGGAAAGTGGCCTAATTATCTTCACTGGTCACATATTATCTGCAATAAAAGGTGTTTTGCAAAATTTTAAATTTGAAAATGAAAATTAAAAGTGAAAACCAAAATTCTTTGAAAAACTTAAAGAGGAAAGATAGCACTAATAGCCACGTGTTTTTCAGCTTTTCAATTTTTACCACAACCATCACAATTTCAGTTTGCAATAAAAGTGGCCGTATTACCCTCAGATACCTTATAAAAATTGTGATTTATGAATTTAAAAGTATTAGTATAATGAGAACAAAAAATAGATAAATAAATTGATAAATGCAACTATATATTCAAGGTGAGCGGCAACAAGCGCTCGGTGGAACTGTCCAGTCCCCTCGGCTCCCCGGATCTGACACTGAGGAGAGACTCGGAGCGCGGTAGCCTCGGCAGCCAGGACAGCAGCTTGTCCAACACCGACAATCAGGACAGCAGTCTGGCGACGTTGCAGCAGGACGAGTATGATCGCAGAGAATCATCGCAGGGCGCGAGTGTCGTCTGCCTCGACAGCAGTGATGCCACTGTCATCGACAAGACCACCACCCCCCCGGCTGCGCCGACGTCGGCGACGGTGCAGCGATTGACGCACGAAAATCTGCGTACGCAGGAGAAGACTACGGCGGAGGTGACGCAGCGAGTGATCTCGGAGAGCGACGACAGTTCGCTCAACAGCGAGCTCGAGCTCGATCAGGCCGTGTATCCCGACAGCGACACGGGTCTCGAGTCCATGAGCTCCGCGGAAACTCACGACACCACGAGGTGCACGAGCAAAGACGGGGTCGCGGAAAACGAGAACCTGAGGATGGAGGTCACCAGGCTCAAGTGCGACAAGCTGGATCTGCTGCGGCAGAATGTGGTAAGAAATAAATTAAATCGAGAGAGATAGTGACCCCAAAAAAGGGTGGTTTTTCGCCCGTTTTTAGGGGGGGTCCTCGATTTTGGAACTGGACTGTGTGCCAAATGCAGTGGCGGATGCAAGGGGGAGGGGGCGATCGCCCCTCCCCAGAGCTCTCTAAACAAATTTCGTTTATTGGAAAAAGTCGGTTTTAAATGAATTGAGAAAAAAAAATTATCAGAGATTATTCGAGACTAAATAATGTTCACTCAATTATTTTTAATAAAAAATATTAAAAATAAAATTAACAATAATAACTAATATTCACATTTCGTCGTACTGCCCCCCTCCCCCTTCCACCCCCAGAACAACTCTCTGGATCCGCCACTGGCCAAACGGTACCTCATAATGAGATATTAATCGCAAAGAAGTTTCAGGTTGAAGTGACAATTGTTATCACAGCTGAAGAGGGGGGGGGGGGATATCACTTATTGCATCTCTTTACGCGAAAACTCGATTTTTTTACCAAAACGAGCGTCATTTACGTAAAACTGCGGATCATCGACTGGATCAACCTTATTAAAATGCCGGACCTCGGCAGATCTGTGATAATTCTACACACATGGATGAACTTTGATTTCATCCCCTCCTTCCTCCAGCTCTGATAACAATTGCCATCTCAACTTCTCTATAATTAATGTCACATTTGGCACACGGTTTAGTCTGAAAATCGAGGGCCCAGAAAACGGGCGATTTTTTTGGGTCGCTCTCTTTGCCTTGTTGAAATTCTACAAGATTTTACGGTCACGAAGAAATGGTATATCTGAACTTTGATCTGTATCGCAGACATGCCAGCGCGAACTGAAACGCCGTCGGGAGAAAGAGCTGCAGCTGGAGTCCGACTTGGCGGCGGCGTCGAAGGAGATCCTACGACTACGTGCGATGCTGAAGGAGTGCTCCACGAGCATCCCGCTGGACAACAATAACCAGCAGACGTCCACCGTGTGAAGTTTTGCGAGCCCAGCGTGTAGTCTTAGACGCGATCGTCATCAGTTGCTCTCGCAGCGAGATGTTAGATAGTGTAGTCATGGCCTTCGCGATCGAATATACAATTGCATGCGTGCTGTTAGAGATTCTGGAAAATTGTTTTCGAAGAACGCGCGAAACAAATTTTTCTTCCTCTTTGTTTATAGCAATTCCGTTGCAATTCACACACGGCTTTCACACGCACGCTGTTTCTTTCCCCGTCAGCGCTCTCACTTTCGCGTATAGTCTGATTGCTGGAATGATGATAACGCGAAATATCGATGGACGCCTGAAGGCCGCGACGAGAGACGCGTAAAGTGGAGGACGTCTTTTAAAAAACGCTTTGACGAGAGTACTCAATACTTAAATACTATGTACCTTCTTCCATTCACCAGGAATCGTTCGTCACTTCCAAAGGAATTAATCTATCGTTTAGCGCTCCGTAGGAGCATATAGGGTTTGCAATTTAGACGCTTTACCGCGAGGATTAATACTGTTCAAGCCGCGAAGTTTTCTTTCTCTAGACAGAGATCTAGGTACAAGTTCTATAAGTAGTCATATACGAGGTAGTAGGATTGTAACACAAATCCTGAAACTGTGTGTGTGTATAGCGACCAAAGTGTTCTCGGGAAACACTTGCGGTGTAGACTCAAGATTGTTAGAGTTCTTGTTTGACTTGTGTAAGACCACGTGTAATATTTATCTATTAATTTATTAGTAGACCTAAGCTGACCCATTCGTAAGTCAATATACATATGTGGACGTAAAAAGAAGCGCAAGCAGATATTTGTAATATTAGCTGTTTTAAGAGGCGGGGCGGATTCAGCACACGACGTTGAAAAGAAAAAAAACACAAGAATCGTCATCGATGCGCGCCGCATGCGAAAGCGTGTGTCTTCTGTCTAGCGCGAAGCTAATAAAACATGTAATTCCCCGGGGTTTTGGGTACTACCAGGAAAAAACCAGGAAAACCTGGAATGAAATTCTCAGGGAATTTCATTTTTGCCCTTGAAAATCATGGATTTCTCATGGAATTTTACTGGTACTGAGGGAAATTTTTAAAATTTTTAAAATTTAATTTTATCCCTTTAGAAAGTAAACGTGGCCCCATTTATTATTTCCGATTTTTCAGATTAAAGAGTCTTTATATAGTATATGTCAATTTTAGAATAAAATAATTAACTTCAATATCAGGGGCCTCCGATATCTGAAAAACGATAACTTGGAAATAATAAATCTGGCATTAAGAGTCTAATAACGCAGACCTTGGTGCGTGAAACAATTTAATCTTCACATATGTACATCTCCATACAATATCTTTCGTTACGTTCGAAAAATTTTGTATGCAGATGTAACAGATGTACATATGAGAAGATTAAATTGTTTCGCGCATCAAGTTCTGTAGGCATTATCGGAACTCTTAGTGCCTAATTTATTTTAAAGGTGTATTGAGAAATTCTCTAATCTTACCTGGAATTTTGAATAAAATTCCTGGAAAATTCAAAATTACAAAATTCGAGTACCCACCCTGTTCCCGTTTATTCTTCGCGTAGCGCACGGATTATCCAGACAATTGGGTAAAACTTCATTTACTCTTTAGACCTGCGATCCTGCGTAGTCAGAAGACCTTTCGTGCACGCGATTGTAGAATATGTATCGCTAGTTGCAGTATTTGTCACACGACACACACCTGCCCAGGATACACTCTCGCCCGTTTATTAGTTTTCCTAGTATTAGACCGGAGAATAGTTTTTTTTTTTTTTTTTTTAGAGGACACTTGTACGAGATTCAATCGTCTCCGGAACACGTCCATCCTCGCGTGCTAGTTTTAGCGAGGAACTGATATTTCCAATTTTTCCAGTTTAACCAATCGCGCACAGCACCAAATTATTTAAGTGTACGCATCACTTGTACTTTCGCAAAGTATCTTTTTTTTTTCGCACGCGCAAACGAGAGATGCGTTATCGTTTACCACTCACGACTTATAAAGTTAAGGATTTTGTATTTTGTATTTTTCTTTTTTTGTTCTTGGTTGACGGATGTCGATCCTTCTGTTATCTCTTACAGCTAGTATTAATACTCTTACCATTATTATTATTATTATTATCATCATCAACCTTAATATTATATTATTATTATTAATACTTTTATTAACATGGATTACGTTGTATGATCTTTGTAAATAATCGTTAATATAGGACAGACACTCGAAAGCGCTAAGCAAACTGGCACAAAGAGGAGGAACAATGACGTTCACTCAACACATAATACCAAAGTTTAATGTAGTAAAATTCACACTACTTTTCTTTTCTTTTTATTTTCCTCGTTCTCCTTATTTTCCCGTTTCTCCGATCATTTTTGCAGGTTGAAAGAAAATTGCGAGTTTCTCATTTCGTCGAATTATTACTCTCGTCGTCGGGAAGAAAGAGATAGAAGCAGCATTTTTAACAGCCACTTTTTGACGAAACATCACATTTATCACTGCCTATGCGACGTCGCTCGACATTACTCTTTCGAGATTACGCGAAGTCTGTTTTCTACTGCTTACATAACGTGATTAATTGTACTTTATAAACTAAAAAGAAAAACGATGACCGCGATATACTGCCGCTGTAGTATCGATAATTTAAATGTTGCGTTTCCGTCTCTCAAGACAACAAAAATATTTCTACGAAAATAGGAAAAATCACATAAAAGAGGCAAAGTAATTTTTTTTTATATCTTAAATTTGACAATAACATAAGATGAATTGGGGAAAAATGATGCAATTGAAGATACTAAAGTCGCAGTATTTCGAACAAATTTATGTTACAATAAAATTATAATATTGTTTCAATCTCTCGTAGCACCAGAAGACTGGATAGGAATTATATTTTTGCGAATCTGTATTGATATTTTTATGCTTTTGCGTTATCTATAAATTAAACGGAACGGTGACTAACACATGTCGTAGCAACACTCGAGTAAGCTTTTCTACATGTCATTGTACATAAGATTCAAAGGCTTGTGGACATTTTCCAGTAACGAGATATAATTTATTTCGGAGAAAGAGGAAAGATATATGAATTAGATTATTCCGGACGGAGAAACGATATATGAATTATTCTAAAATACGTACGTTAAAATTATTTCGAAGAAGGGGAGAGAGGGGGAATATATGAGTCGTTCTAAATACGTTAAATTGAAAATAATGTACAAAATTGAAATCCTCTCGTTGACCTAAATATTCTAAAATAATATGACGGACTGTTTAAATTGTTGATGTTGTGTTCGATAGAGATTTGCGATAAAGTCGATCAAATATTTATATCCGTGATTCAATTGGACTCGAGGGAGATAATCCGAGATAATCAGATAAGCGGCCGATAAACCAAAGAATACTGGAAAAATCGACGTGTCTATTGAGTCCGTATCGGTACACACACACACACACACACACACACACATTATTTGCATACTATCAGGAGAGTGATTATCGTTACGGACGTTCTTATCGAAAGAACATATATTATCGTGATTTGGAGTATTTTCGGAAATCGTCTTGTATACTATCGTACTGTTAGATATCTACAGAGGATTTATATCACAGACTATTTAATACTCGCGAAAAACTTAAACGAGCCTCCTTAATCTTTACTAAATGTACATAACGTCGAGGATTGCGTTCAATTCACGGAGATTGTCGTCCGACGTTTCCGAGGACTAAGTTTCACCACTGTCTATAGTGTGATTTCTATGCTGGCCTTGTGAAAAGTCAAAGAAAGATTATTTATATTATAAAGAAATATTCACTATATATATATATATATATTATCAAGGACAGGCGAACGGACTGAGGGAAAGGAGGATGAAGGGGAGAGATAAAAAATACTATTGTCACAGATATATGAATATATTTTGTATCTAACATTCATCTATTTCTACAACTAACTCGAATACTTTACTACTCTCGGAAGAATATATATACAGTATATATATTATATATCGTTTAAGTGCATATTAAACTCAGCAATTTGAAAAATAGTAATGAATAAAAGTTTTTTTTAATAATAATTATTTTGTTTAAGAAGATCTATATAATAACTTGAATAATATAAAACACATATAAAAACTTGAAAGTTATAAATTATTTTTTTATGGGATTTTTTATTTTTTGATAGAATAATATATCTATTTTTATTAGAAATTTTGTAAGGTATACGATTATCAAAAATTACTTTATTGAATTTGTCTCTTTTTCTTTCATAAAATATATTACAAATATATATATATTATTCCATTTAGGAAAATAATTATATGTAATAATTAACTTTTGCTTAAGTCATTACAATAACTTTTCTTAAACAATATAACTCTTAATAGAAAAATTTCTTATAACTCAATTAATTGAAAAAAATAACTGACAATGAGTATGTGCACTTAAATCAAATACACACTGTATGTATATGTATATAATGTATATATGTATGTACAGGTATCCTTGACCTGCCATGATAATCGTTAAGAGAGGGTATCAGATTTCTGAAGTCATTTAGAGATGAAAATTCCTATAATACCAAAATGTCAAAACTATATAAGTCTATAATTTTTAAATTAAGTGTTTTTGAAATTGATCAATCAAATTATTCGCGCGTATAACGTATCGCACAGTAAAAAATATGTAAATATATCAATTTTTGAGAGAAAATAGGATTGAGGCTTGAAAACATCTCCACTGCGATGTTTCATGTTTAAGTACGCGAATTTCGGATAATTTTTGGTTAGTTAACTTTCTCATTTTTAAATTATTATATAGCATTAATTGACATTTTGATGTTAAAATCTTCATCTCAAAATGATCGACTTCAGGAGTTTGCAATTAATGCTTGACACGGGTCTGGGATATCCCTGTACATATTTCCAACGACAATGTGAGACATAAATGCAAGTATTCGATCTCTTCGATTTCACCAGTGTGTGGAAAATAATTCCGAATATTTGTAAAGAGTGTTTACTGAGCTGATCGTAAACACGTTATTGATAAGTATGATGCGCTCGTGCTGAATAACGGTCTAAAAGAAACTACAATCTGTGTATCGCGTTACGATCCGCGGAAATAAATATGTATAGATGTACGTGAAAAACTCTTAGCGAAATTCTTCGACAGATTAGATCATTGTCGCACTAAAAATCGTATCCACATGGAAAAGTGGGATTCTCTGTATACTTTCTGGTTTCGCAAGCGATTTGTGAAAAAATATAAAAAAGTACCATATCGGAAAACCGAATCGCTGTTGTTGCCGAACAATTGGCGCAAGACGCGAGAACAGTATATCGCTTAAAATCTGCAAACTTAAATTATATTCAGACAGTCAAGTCTATCAAGAACAGATTTGTTGCAAATTTTTGTCGGCATAAAGAGCTCTGTGTCTGTATGCAAGAGTTAATTGGCTCCCGAGGTAGAGTATAGAAAAAAAAGTCATAATGATATCATAAGGGTCATCATTATTATGACTTTGTCACTTATAAATCACAAATAATGTAAAAAGTGACGTCATTATGACGTCATTTGTCTTCTTATAGTTCTACCTGGATCGTTCCCACTAAAAATCCTGTTATAAAATGCCATTACCATTCGTTTGGTGGTCGCTTGATAGTATTTGGTAGTCAATTCCCAATAATTGATAGTCGAGACTGTAATTAGTAACATGAAAAAGAGACATACGTGTGTGAAGTTAGCTCCTCCTTCCAAAAAGAACTCTATTTAAATCATATATGAGAATTAATTGGTGTTAAGAAAACATATAGTTGCTTTTAAAAAAAATTACACAATTTGCAATATGCAATTACAAAACATTGTTTTTTAAAAGCAATAATGTGTTTTCTTTACACTAATTAATTTAGCTCATTATTCTGTGTCTAAAATAAAATGTCTATTTATATAAATTTTATATATATGTATATTTGTATACATAATATGTGTATCTATATATGTATGTATAATTATTCATTTGATAATCATTTACTGACATTTGATAATTTATTTTTAACAATTAATAACAAAAATTGTAATTGATAACACACGTACAAAAGCATATAAGTGCATATGAAACGTAAAAGATAACACATGTAAAGAAACGTGAAATTAACCCTTTTATTAAAATTTGGTCTTCTAAACTGTGTAATATAATTGTAACTCATTTGATGACGTTTCTCAATCTATTTCAAATGTTTGATATTAAAAAAACATTCTGAAAATGTAATTATGAAGGTGGAAAATAGGATATATGTGTGTGACTAACCACATCTCGTAGAAATATCTTTATACGATTGCATATTTCATTAACGATTATGTTTAATGTTTGGTAATTTATTCCTAATTATTAATAACACTGATCGACATGCTAAAAGTTTTCTGAAAAAAAGGGAGGTTTCCACTCTCTGATGTAGATTTTTAGGCGCTGAAAACTCTCTGAGATGCTGCTCTCAGAATTTGTCTATCACGTCACATTTTTAAGAAAAATAAAGTTAAAACTCTTAAAAAACATAATTTTTGGCAATTTTTGGAAAATCGTAGCGGACGAACCTGACGTGCTAGAAACTGAAAAAAATCTTAAATGAAAGCTTAAACTTAAACTGCATCTGCACGATGCAGATAAATAATTTAGTAATATTGAAGATACTTGGACTCGATTATGATGTTTAAGGTTTCATTTAAAATATTTAAAAAGTTTCTAGCACATTTCTAGTTCATCCGCTACGATTTTTCAAAAATTGCTAAAAACGCGGTTTTTAAAAGTTTCAATCTCATTTTTCTCACAAATGTAACACAATTAACAAATTCTGGTAGGCAGCATTGTTTTCAGTGCTCTAAAATCTATGGGAAACCACTCTGCTTTTTCAGAAAACTTTTAGCATGTCAGTATAATTTGATCAGTATAATTATAATTTTTAAACCGCAAATATGAAGATCAAATTATAATAACTTTGTCCGTTTTTAGCTTCAATTCAGGTTTTATCATGTTTTCTCTTTATGAATCGGTAAAATAAAATATTAAAATTGTTTTGATTACTCTCGTACGTAGTTTTGATCACCAACAGTAGGAAATGAACTACCATGAACGCCATCAAAGGATCACTATTGGATCGCAAATAGTTGTAACTAGATTTTCAGTGGGAGAGCCAACACTTCACACAATTGATAGAAAGACTACAGATTTTGATACAGAAGCTGATGTATACAATGCTTAGAAGAATGCTCACAGAAATATAGAAATTTGTCAAATATGACAGATAATTAATAGCAGAAATCAGGCAAATT